TTAGGTGAAGTTCAACTCCCGATGTTTTGCAAACATCTCTTAGTACATATCAATTCAAAAGTGCCCTTTCACGAAAATCTGCCACCCTTGCCTTCACATCGTTCCGGCGTCCCTGGATACAATTGTAGAAGGTAATTGATGTAGAACATGTGTAAGACATTACATCATACATACAGTGAAAAAGACACTTTTTGGTTGTAGTACATCCTGCATGTACATATCGGCAGCATTTTACTTGCGATAGTAACTCCTAGTATATTTATAGGGCAACAAGAACCATATTATAAAGTTCTTTGTACTATTTTGTAACAAATTACACATAATTGTTTTCGTTTGTGGAAACACCACGTAAATTTATACGTAATTTTTTAATTTATTTAATTTTTTTTTTTTTTGTGTGTTTCCACAAACAAAAACAATTATATTTTATCGCCATGCAAACATTCAAAGAACTTAAATTACACATAATTTCAAACAAACTTACCTTGCAATGAAAGTCTTCCCTTCTCTAGCAGCAAATAATGCAGTATAATAAAAGAGGCGTTCGTATTTCAAATGTACTTAAAATGCACGTCAAGTCTTTTCGGCATTGATTGGTTAACTAAAACTATGGCGTCAGATTTCCGCCAATATTCATGTTGATATTAATTCAACATGTTTCCGTACTGAAGTGAATTTCGACATTGAACATATCAAATTCAGCATGCCACTTTAATTCAACATTGCTTCAATTTCAACATGTTTCTCTCATTGATGTTAATTTGAATATTGAACGTGTCAAATTTAAGTGAAATACAACATTGAAGTATAGATATTGAAGTAATTTTCAATGTTGAAGTTTCAAAACATGTTGAAAACGCATCACTACATGAATTTGAGAAGTGAATATTGGCGGTTATATAGCACCGCGTTAAATATCCGCCAATATTAATTAACACTTCGTTAAACTCCCCCCCCTGGCATATTCCTATATGGCGGCTACGAACGAGCGGAATCAGTGATGAAAATCGTGGTGCACTGAACATTATTGAGGATATAATATCACGATTAGACAGCTAGCCTTGGTGACCCAGATTGTGTAGAGGGCTTGGCAATACGATTTGACGTTATAAAGAGATATCTTGTAAATATTAGAATCGACGACATCTACATGCACTTTGGAATTGCTGGATAGGATTTGCAAAAATTTAAACCAATTTGAGCAGCGGCAGCGCTATTCCGCCATGAATAACTCTGCATTTCTAGCACAAGTTTTTGCCGTGGATAACCTTCGTAGGTCCTTCGTATGATATACACGAGGGGCAATTGAATTTTTTATAGCGAAGTAAGCAGTATGATGGGTGTACGCAAAATAACTTTGGAGCGGCGAATGAGGTCATTTGACACGAGTATGTCAGGTAAGAAAGTTATGGCTTATACACATCCTATACATGGCCAACACAGTGGTTATGCAGCACTGTATATGTTAAACCCAAGTCGACAAACCTAGGGAAACTGATGTAAATGTAATGCATACATGTAGATGAAACCACAACTTCCTTGTGTGGGGATTGGTGTTAGTGAAAAAATCTAGACACTGACCTCTGAATTGGCGAAGACTGATCAGGTCATTTGCGGTTTGCCGACCTTAAACGAAAACAGGACTGGAAAGCTCAGTTTTCAATAAAATTCAAGTTTTCATGAATTAATCCAAAATGCCAAGTTCCTGGAGTGGACTGACTGCCACCAACCGCCCTGCTGCCACTGACATGGGCTTTTTATGTCTGCTCAGCAGTGCATTACTATAAGCTAACCTTTTTCTTCAAACGGTAAAAAATGAAGTGCAGATGAAAGATGTAAATACCTAGGTATTCTCGTTCTCATTCTATGCTGTATACGTAGTTCTGTATAAAACTTAATGTGCAGTCAATCATATTAAATCCTGATGATAAGACGCTATATACACACTACGTGTTGCATATATAATTACTGTGTCGGCCGTGGATGTGCATAACTTTCTTACCTGACACACTCGTGCCAAATGACCTCATTCGCCGCTCCAAAGTTACTTTGCGTACACTCATCATAATCATATACTGCTTACTTCGCTATAAAAAATTCAATTGCCCCTCGTGTATAGCATACGAAGGACCTACGAAGGTTTTCCACGGCATAAACTTGTGCTGGAAATGCAGAATTATTCATGGCGGAATAGCGCTGCCGCTGCTCAAATTGGTTTAAATTTTTGCAAACCCTATCCAGCAATTCCAAAGTGCATGAAGATGTCGTCGATTCTAATATTTACAACATATCTCTTTAAAACGTCAAATCGTATTGCCAATCCCTCTACACAATCTGGGACACCAAGGCTAGCTGTCTAATCGTGATATTATATCCTCAATAATGTTCAGTGCACCACGATTTTCATCACTGATTCCGCTCGTTCGTAGCCGCCATATAGGAATATGCCAGGGGGGGGGAGTTTAACGAAGTGTTAATTAATATTGGCGGATATTTAACGCGGTGCTATATAACCGCCAATATTCACTTCTCAAATTCATGTAGTGATGCGTTTTCAACATGTTTTGAAACTCAGGGGCGGATCCAGGCAAAAATCTGACCGTAGCATTTTCCAAGACCTCGCATAGCTAGGGAGGTCCGGGGGCATGCCCCCCCGGAAAATTTTTGAAATTTGAAGCCCGGAAATGCCATTTCCTGCGTTCTGAGCACTGCATGTGACCATTAAATTTGTCCTCATTGTATTCATTTCTCAAGCAAAAATAAGCCGAAATGATCTCAAAATGTAAACTATTGCTCGCGTATATTTTAACATACGATATCGGTATGATACTCGTATCATACGCATATCATTATCAATTGAATACCGAAATGCGCGTATCATCTACGAACGCGTGTATCATACGAATACGCATATCATATGAACGCGCGTATGATATGAATACGCGTATCTTACGAATATATACGCATTACAAACAAATATTAGCGCGCTATAAAACACGATATATATACGCGCGTATCATAATTCGCGTATTAATTCCAATACATGCAGGTATACTGTACATACGCGCACAAACACTTTAATAAAGCGAAGTTAATAGCGAACACTATACAGTAAAAACTCAAATTAAAATATAATGTGCATCTCTTATCATTCATAAGGCTTACCTGACTGGAAATGATTCGTTTTACTATCTGATTTTATTTCTACCTCGACGCATATAAATCCTTTAGCTTTACGACGGCTTTCATTTCGAAATGCGCACAACCGTACTGTGGGTTCCCAATAGCATGTTGTTGATGAGCCAAACACAAATATCAGATATTCCATCGTTCTGGAGCAGTAGCCAATTTCATGCCACCGTAGCAAACTATAGCATTTGCCCCATTCCGATTGGTTTGCTACGTTTGACCGTAGCAAACCAATCAGAATGCCGTATATGCCAATTTTCGCTACGGTCAGATTCGACCTTAATGAATCTGACCGTAGCGAAAATTGATCATATATGGGCAACACGCTACGGTGTATTTCTGAAGGATGATATTTTCTAAGCTATAGTCCATTGCGTAATGACCCGCAAACGGGCAATTACAACCGTATTTTCGGGCGGGAATTCTTAAAACAATTAACGTTACGTATTATAAATGTCATCAATTTGTCAAAATAAAATGTTTTAGAACATATAAAACTAAATAAAATAAAACCTTGAAATATAAACAAGGAAAGTAAACAAAATATTGCTAAATTATATTTTAGATTGATTTTATGATCCATGTTAGAACTGGCCTATGGAAAATCTGACCGTAGCATATGCTACAGTTGCAACGGTCTAAATCCGCCCCTGAAACTTCAACATTGAAAATTACTTCAATATCTATACTTCAATGTTGTATTTCACTTAAATTTGACACGTTCAATATTCAAATTAACATCAATGAGAGAAACATGTTGAAATTGAAGCAATGTTGAATTAAAGTGGCATGCTGAATTTGATATGTTCAATGTCGAAATTCACTTCAATACGGAAACATGTTGAATTAATATCAACATGAATATTGGCGGAAATCTGACGCCATATAAAACAGCTGGTTAAGGCCGTTTTGCACTTCAAGCGTATACCGTACCCAAACAGTTTTCCACTTCAATCGTAACGTATCGTAGCATTTTCTTTTGTGTCGAAGCATTAGTTCCACTCTAGTGCTCAGGAAACAAAGAGATACGCTAGTTTCGTTACGATACGACTGAAGTGGAAAACTGCATGGCTTTAAACTTTCAAGAATTTAGCGAATGTTGTTTGATTAATACGATCCGTAGTACGCCAAAACGTTGACTTGCGGCGAACATTTCATTTTGATGCGCGAATACACCCGGAAGTATGTGAATTTATCAAGCTTTCGTTTGTAGAAAATTGAGATAGATAGAGATTTGACTGCTATAGAAGAAAAAGTATAAAACTTCGATGTTGTGAACGAGGACGTTCGTCGGGAAGTTGGACTGTTTTGAGTACTATGTAGTCTACCATATGGCTATGCTGGCACAGATCGTTCGAATAATTACAAAACAAATGTTTGCTCATTTCTCATTCAATTTTCAACGACTAATGTAGCCACAATTTAAAGAGCTATCCATGTATAAATGAACTTTGTTGAGTTTTAGCTTCCTCCTGTAGTAACATTGTTGTCTGGGGAGAACAGTTTAAAGCTGATTATAGGACTATCCAGTATATGAGCCTTACATAATCGACTATATGTTGGGAAATAAAAACTGATATAGAACAATCCAGTATACAATATATGCCCCTTGAGGAACAGCCCGAACGAATTGATTTTATCTTTTATCAATTTATTACACCTACTAAACCCAAACTAATAACGTTACATATATATTTTAAACAACTTTACACACAGTTTTACTACATAATCTCATTACGTTCAGGCAAATTACAACAATTAAATTAAGTATAGTTGAGTAAAACTACAGTCAGAACGCAAAGTACATCAAGTCAAGCAAAAATCAAACCAACAATCACCATCATGGAAAGAGTAAACTTGGTCATCATGACACCAGTTGCACTGCTGGGGGTATAATTGATACCAGTTTCCCTGCTGGGGGTATAATTGTTGCAGTTATCGGTATTACAACATTCAAAAGCACACGATTTCAGACCATATTTTATGGCTAAAATGAAACACGTTGCTTCAGTATTGTGGCAAGCAACACTGTTGCCACTGCAGCTTCTTTCAACGACGTCTGTGCCGTTTTGGTAGGTACCAGATAATGTGTAACAATAATCGAATCCGAATGAACAGGTAACTGTGCGGCTAGTACATTTTTGTTGTTCTTTTGGCTGCGATGTCCAGTAGTCACAAACATTGCATTCCAGAGCACTCCCTAAAACAAAACAAAGAAGAAATGCAGTAGATCATTAGTTGGAAACTGTCCTGTCATACCCCCAACAGCCAGATCTGGCCAGGGCCTTTTTTAAGGATTTTCCCGTAGGGGGGCATTTTTTGAAAAGGGACTTTTCTGTGAGATAATATATTTGAGGGGGATAGCAATGGCTGAAGGCTACGTGTGTGGTCAATATACCACGCATGAATGGGGGGAAACTTTTGAAATTTGAATCCTGGAAATGTCATTTCCGGCATTCTGAGCATCCAAATTTGCTCCAAAATTTATGCTAACTATACTTGTATTTGAAATAAATAAAGGAAAAAACGCACAAAAAGTAAAAAAAAGTTAACCATCATTTATCGTTACTTATTAGAGGAGGATGGCAATGGTCAGGTGTGTGGGGATGTACTCCCCCAGAAAAGTTTTGAAATTTGAAGCACGGAAATGCCATTTCCTGCATTCTGAGCATCCAAATTTGCTCTAAAATTTATGCTAACTATACTTGTATTTGAAATAAAAGATGGAAAAAATAAACAAAAAGTAAAAAAGAATATTAACTGTAATTTATCATTACTTATTAGAGGGATAATCCCCAGAAAATTTTTGAAATTTGAAACCCGGAAATACTATTTCCTGCATTCTGAGCATCCAAAAAATAAAAAATTATTAACAATAATTTATCATTACTTAGCTAGTGGTAGAAAAAAGTAACAATTTAAATCGATTTTGTTAAACAAGGACAAAGGATAAAGCCTAAAACTTACTTTCCGTTTATGCATTCGTTAATCTTCGCTGGTTTGTTTCTATAATTTTAGGGAAAAGGGACTTTTCCTGGGGGGGGGGGCAAAATGTGATTTCGTGGGGGGGGGGCACAAGGGGGAACTGGGGGGGGGCATTTGCCCTCCCCCCCAGCTTGTATGTAAAAAAAGGCCCTGGATCTGGCCCAGCAGTGCAACTGGTATCTTGTCTTATCTCTGTCAGTTTAAACTGTTTTAGTCTAGAGACCTGGCAGCGGTCATCTCGCTGATCTGAAGACTAGAACTCGATATAGTACTTTTGTATTCAATCTGCAATTTTAAAGTCAAAATATGTATGATGAGATGAGATTTTGATGTCTGTCAAAATCTGTGGATATGCGACGTGTTTAACTGAATAGCCACATCATCAAGCAATTACATTAGTAACTTGAAAGATATAGCTTCCCACATCTTTTCTGATAACTGCATATTGCTGGCAAGGGCATAATCAGGCATTGTGATTCGATCACTGAAAATTTGTAAATCAGTTTTCTTACCTAAAGCTGAGATAACCAACACAACTCCCAAAACGAGTAAAATTTTGCTGAACATACTGTGATCTTTTCCAAAACTAAATCAAAGACAAAAACAAATTGAATATATAGTCGGGATGTGAATAGTGCTTTTCACGAAATTTGATTCTTTGTTTGCAATAACGTGACTTTTCATCCAAATGACGTGCAATCAAACAACTTGTTGACGATTTTTCTCCTATCAGAATGGTTGTAGCAATAAAAACTGAACGGTAATTTATCTTTTGAGTCTTAAACTGTCTCTAAACTCGATCAATACATTAAAATAGTGGTTTTTTGTTATACCTACCCGTCAACTGAAATCCCAAAATTACGTCATTGCAAACAAAGAATTGGTTGCTCCGGATTTTAGGCCGTTTGCTCTGTGACCTCGAAAAGTTCCTAGAAAACGATTTTCATTAAGCAATCAGTCTTGGAACTGAAATATTTTTATGGGAACTAACACTTTCAACCACGCTGAGAGTTCAAATCCGATAAATAAATTACAAATTAAAGAATATATAAATTAAACTATATACAAGTTAAACTATATAGAAAAACAAGGAAGCAAAGAATAATAAAAAAGGAATTATATAAAAACTTAACAATTGGTGCGATCCAAAGGAAGTGTTCATTCCTGACGTATTTTTCTTTTAAAAGAAGAAAGGGTTTCAGAATTTTTTGAAAACTCGTTTAGATTAGGGGCAGTGTGGTTATTAAGTATATTTTGTACATCATTATTAATTTATTTTCTAAACTTTTCACATCAAGTGTTTGCCAACCGAGAGCATCCAAAACATCAGTAGACCTAACATCATAACTGCATGCATGGCTCCAGTATAATCACTCTAGCTGCACGGGATTGAAATTTTTGTAGTCATAATAATAATAATAATAATAACAATAATAATAATAATAATAATAATAATAATAATACGAATATTTTAACAGGATAAAAACACTTCAGCAAGAATATTGCTGTTATCAACGCGTGTCCTGTGTCCAAAAACTACTTTAGTAAAAATCTATATATATATCTACAGTTCTAATTTTGTGAGCTCTACAAAATTCCATCAAAATATCCCGAAAATATGGAACGCTAAAGAAATTTGTAATCATATAGCTTCTTCCAACTTAAGTTATGATAGTAAACGAATTAAATGGATTGGAACTTTTGATATATTGCAGAAATTTGTCGAATGCGATCTTAAATTGGATGGCAAATGGTCTTCGCCAGGCGGTTGTTCGAAAAAGTTTACGTGCTATAATCTAGATATATCAATAACTTGGTACCCCAAGAAACTAAATACACTCGTATTTCACGGTGAGCAAAGCTCGGGTTTGGTTGACGCGTTAATAAATGTGTGTGCAAAGGCAATCTCTGAAGACGACGGTTTATCAAACAATGTATGTGTGTCGGCCATACATAGTTCGATTGCAACCGACTATAAACCCAGCTGTTGATGAACCCGAACAGATGTCTAATCACTGTATTAAGGACTTTGAACTAACTGATAATCATCAAAAGGTCAGTATAGAGCATAATTTCAAACTTGGTTGTCAGTGTAGAATTTTAGCTGCTGATTTGGAGGGAGTTAAGCTCGATATAGCAATCATGTGCAGGGACATAGAAACTAAGTTCCTTGCAGCTTTCAATTCACGGGATAGTGATAGTGAACAAATAAGTGAACTTAAACACGAGCTTCTTAAGGAAAAGGAGAAATGTAGTCAGTTGGAGGCTGATATATCTATTTTGGTTCGATGAAGGAATAGGGAGATAAACGAATTAAAAAATACCATTACCTGTCTCGAAAACAAACTTAAATCAAGCGATGTCATAAATGAATCTCTAAAGGCCCGTTTACACTTGCAATTTTTCCTGCGATTTCGAGGGCAATTTTCTCTTTCTGATTGATGTGAACGAGTAAATAAGTTAAGAATGTTCTGAGTATATGGCTTACTGATGTACCCTCGTCTGAACATTCATAACTCATCCACTCGTTCACATCCGTCAGAAGAAGAAAATCGCACCTAAAATCGCAGCCGAAATTGCAAGTGTAAACAGGTCTTAAGACAATCGCTAATGCAAATTAATTCAGAAAAATTCAATGGTGTATTGAGTGCCGAACAAAGCCTGTCAAACCAACCTGAACAAATTAATACTTATAACTGCATCATAGACACTGTAAAATCGATAGAAACTGCAAATTCAAACCTAGGAATTTGTTTACCAGGTGAACCATTTATTCCCGAAACTGTCAGCGTTGAAAGCCCCCTTGATAATTCATGTTTAATTGTCCAACCAGCAAGTTGTAATAGAACCAACAATAAACTCGACAACAAATGTGAAATTAACAAAGTGAAGTTAACGGAAAGCCATTATAACTCAGAAGAAGGAACCCTTTTTAGAAAACCCATCAAATATATTGAATGATAGTATAACTAGCACTGAGACAGTTACTCAGCATGTGTGCATTGGCCAAATACCAGCTGATATCTCTGAATTTATTGTCTTAGACGGCGACGAATGCATGTCTGAGTGTGACAATACTAATAACTGTCCTTTTCGGCAGAGCTTTCCGGAGCGTCCCCCGCCCTTGCCTCATGTCCGAAGAGCGGAATGGTCGGCGCATTTAAATCTTGTTCGCCGGCTGACGGCAAAGTAAATTCTAAAGAAAATGAGAGAGAATCGCATGAAAATTACAGTTCGATTCCCGTTGAACTTCTTGTTCAAAAAATTCCTGTGAGAATAACCCATCGCGTATCAAACTTTCAAAGAAAATAAATGCAAAACCTAGTCAATTAAGAACACTACAGCATCAATCGGTTCCAGTACCAGGGAAAAGTTTCAACCGTAGAAATAACTTAATTTATATTAGTGGCCACCAAACCAAAAAAACGCCCTTACTCTCTTCTCTACCGAATTTATTTGTTTCTAATTCAAGATCGCTGATCAGCAAGATTGACGAACTGTCTGCTACAGTAAAATCCTATACATCAGACATTGTCGTTGTTACCGAAACGCGGCTTTCTTCAAATGTTCCTAATTCAGCAATAGATTTATGCGGTTATTCCTTACTGAGGCATGATCGTTCCGACGGCAGACGAGGAGGTGGAGTCTGTGTCTTTGTAAAGGACATGCTTCCGTTCATTCATCTTAAAGAGATTGAAAGTCACGAATATGAGTCGCTTTGGTTACTCTTAAAACCTCACCGCTTGCCTCGTGGTTTAAATTCAATTGTATTAGGAATCGTGTACCATCCACCTGGAAGTGACGATAAAGCCCTTCTTTCACACCTTACCGAATCAATCGATTCTGTCCTTTCCACCAATCCCGGTGCAGGAATTATTTTGGCCGGAGATTTTAACCAATTTAAACATCGCCAGTTATGCAGTTCCTTTAACCTCAAGCAGTTAGTCAAAGACGCTACTAGAGGAAAGAATATTTTAGATAAAATATTTACCAACATTTCTAAATTTTATAATTCTGGCCTGGTAATTTCTCCAATTGGACATTCCGATCATAATTCCATCGTTCTTAAACCTCTTCCAGCTAACTCTTATGGTGGCACAAGGTCTACACGTTTAGTACGAGACTCTCGCCCAACCAATCGTCGAATTGTTAGCGATCATCTGTCGAAAGTTAATTGGTTACCTTTGCACCATATGGAATCTTGTGACGGGCAGTTCCAGTATTTTTCCACCATCGTTGATAATATCATAAACGAACATTTGCCTTGGAAACAAATCAAAATTGATTCTAGTGACAAGCCTTGGATTACTTCCGAAATAAAATCTCTCATTTCCAAGCGGCAGACAGCATGGGCGGCTGGCAATAACCTGATGTTCAGATTCTATCGAAACAAAGTCAATGCACTTTGCAAGAAGGCACGACTAAATTACTACAATAAAAGTATCGCGGGCGTTCAACAGTCCGATTCTCGTAAATGGTGGTCAGCGGTGAAGAATATTGCCGGTCAGCGGTGAAGAATATTGCCATTCATCTGCTGGTCCCGATGAAATTCCTTCTTGGCTTCTCCGGGAAAACGCTTCAGTATTGTGTCGACCTTTGTGTTCTATTTTTAATTCATCAGTTCGTGAAGGATTTGTTCCCTCAATATGGAAGGCAGCAAATATTACACCAGTTCAAAAATCTTCGCCTCCTAAAGATGTTGATTCTGACTTCAGACCAATCTCCCTCACACCAATTATCAGCAAGATTCTTGAATCCTTTCCCTACAAATGGCTACTTGACTCCGTCTCAAAAAATTGATTCCTTGCAATTTGGTTCGCTGAAGGGTTCAAGCACTAGTATGGCATTAATCTACATGCTACATAAATGGTTTGAAGCAGCTGACAAACAAGGCAACACTATACGGATTTGTTTACTTGATTTTTCCAAGGCGTTTGATAGGTTAGATCATAACATTCTGTTGGAAAAATTGAAAGACATGGAAATTCATCCCGTGTTACTCAACTGGATCGCTAACTTCCTAACAGGCAGACAACAAAGAACCCGTGTTGGTCAGTTCTTTTCTAAGTGGAAGTTTTTAAACGCCGGCGTCCCACAAGGAACGAAGCTTGGCCCGCTATTATTTTTGATCATGATAAATGACTTGGCTGTAGCGGATGAAACTGTTAAATTTGTCGATGATACTAGCCTTTGGGAAATAATATCAAACAATTCCCCTTCCCAGTTACCCGCCAACATCATCAGCTGCTCTGAATGGTCATCAGACAATAATATGAAGTTAAACGTATCAAAGACCAAAGAATTGCGTGTCTGCTTTTCTAAGCTTACTCCATCGTTTGCCCCTATTACCATTCGCGGTCAAGAGGTCGACGTCGTTTCCGAGGCCAAACTACTGGGCGTTGTCCTTTCGGAC